GTCTATGGCCACAATACCAGCCCATTATGTTCATGCTCATGTTTATGCTTAGTATAGAAGGAAGACCCATGGGTTAGCCCTAGGCACTTATTGATATATGTTCTGGGTTACGACCTAATGTGGGGTGAGGCCCGGGGGAATGTTAGGATGCTAGAGGTCTTTGTAACTTTTGCATGTGTCGGTATGATAGGATTTGAATGGAGGGTCCGATGTTGGGGTAATCCCGAAGTACGTTAGATAATAGTATGCTTCTGGGCCGGGGGTCCGACAACAGGGTTTTCCTAAGGAAGATTCTTATGTAGTGCGTTAGGTTATACTTGTTGTTTTTGTGATACTTGTATGTGCTTGGTAAGGAGATGAGTGTGGGCGAGGTCCTGTATCTCATCAGTAGCTGATTATGGATGGGGTTCCATATCTCGATATTAGCATAGCAAGGGCGATGCCTGTGATAGGAAGGATGTGAGTGTGGGTGAGGGACCGTATCTCACTACTAGTAGGAGTGCGGACGGGGCTCCACTACTTTAGTAGTAGACCAAGGGCGGGGCCCAAGTTAGGCGAGGCCTAAGAGCAGGGTATGGTTAGGGAAGGTTCATGTATGTTTCAGTATGATATTTGATGGTATGTATGTGTATGGCGGGCGAGGCCCAGAGACAGGCGGGGCCTAAGGGAAACATATATGTATACCGAGCGGGGCTCGATGCCAGGCGGGGCCTGATGACGAACAGGGTCCTATGGCGGGCGAGGCCCAATGCAGCAGGTGGGGGCCCAGTACGTGATTATGTGCTCATAGTTGTATATAGAATGTTTGGATCAGTAGATATGTATGGTATGTGGTAGGTTGGGGAACTCACTAAGCTTCGTGCTTACGGTTTCTAGTTTTGGTTTCAGGTATTTTCGATAGCGGAATGAAGAGCTCGGGATGAACGCATGGCACACACTAAGAAGTTTAGCCTGGGATGTTTACTCTGATAAAATGAATAAGTGTTTTGGAAAAGATACTCTAATTTGTCATATAGCCCCTTTTGTAGGTTTGAATGACTTAATGCTATGGAATAGTAATGTTTTTAAAAGAAATTTTTGGTCTTGATTTTTGGGATGTTACAACTTGGTATTAGAGCCTTGGTTTGAGGGATTCGGACACACTCTCGGGTGTAACTGAACTCAAACTGAGGGCTGGGTAAGGAATATTGTTTTTTTAAAAGAAAATTGTTTTTTATAAAAAGAACTTTGAAAAGGAAAAAGGATTTCAAAAAGGAAGTAAGAAATTTGTAAACAGAAAAGGGTGTGGTGCACGCAATCAGCCGAGCTCAAGTAAGTTCTCCCAAATTACCCGTACAAGTTTATGTTATGTTATGATTATGTGACCAGCATGCTAGATTTAGAGCTAATGATTTGGGAGGATGCCTTATGTGCCTGTTATATGTGCTTATTGAGCTATATGGTAGTATTGGTTAGACAGTGGTAGGATAACCTGTTTAGGTTATGCCTGATTACATGAGCTTATATCGCATGCTAGTGCATATTCTTGTTGTGTGGATACAATTGTTTGATTATGTTCTGGTTAGATTTCCCTTTTTTCTGAATGCTACTTTCTTTGTGCTTTGTGGGACTCTGAGTGATGGGAGGTAGCCATTAGGTGAATGCATTAAGTCACATGTGACCAGGGTTGAAATATCTCAAAGTGTTGGATTTGGCCCTATTGTGCAGCTCTTGTCTGAGTCCAACCGTTGTAGGGACAAGTGCTTTACTCGAAGGATTATCTGAGCCTCGTCACATGTGATAGTATTCAGGTAGTGGTTAACTAGCATTGTGACGATGCCTTCAGTAGCCGAGGACAGAGTGAGTGGAGGATAGTCTATGGAAATCCTAGGATGAGCTTAGTGCTAGGAGCAGTAGTAATAGTAGTAAGGGACTTGGTAGAGTCGAGGCAACTCTTGTCACACCAAACCAGAACGGCGGAAACGTTCTCGAGTGGAGGACGTTATGTACAGTATCATAACAATGCATAATAGTAAACAAGCAATAACATCCATTGAATTAATAAAATAGTTAAATATACGTATGTTCTTTTGTAAGTTTAAATGACACCAAAAATGTACAATTAAAATCAAGATGAGTCTCGGATCCACCCCTTCCTTCAAAAGCGGCATGGGTGTACCTTTCTTACTGGTTTCCTGAGAATACAAGTTATTTTGAAAGAGAGTATCAACATAAACTTGCTGGAGAGTTCATAAGTGTTTTAGTGTCATTATTTGTATGAAAAATATTCACATAAAAAGTTTGTAGTAAAGTTTGTAAGTTTTTACTCGTAGTAAAATGTTCGTTAACTGTTTGTATAATGTTCGTATCTTCCTAGAAAAATCTCATATTTTCTACTAAACTGTAGTCTTCTATCAAGACTCAATGTTCGGTTTGTTTGTCTATAAAAGTATGTATTTTCCCAAATCTGACTATCTTATCAAGAAGTATTTTGTATATTATCTTATAATGAGCAAACGTTTCAAGGTAGTTGTAGTAGCGAAAATATTATAGAATTGTAGCTTTGTATGTGGAAACTACCGTAGTACTACTTACCTTAAAGCCAAATAATTATAAGGTAAGGTGAGATTTGTAACCATACTGATTGACGGCTGTAGAACACGACGATGAAAGACGTCGAAATAAAAGGAGACATTTGTCACCCCTGGGCTTCGTCGGCCGGGGACTGTAGCTAACAGTCGGGGTGCGGGATAGTCTGTCCCGTATAGATTTATACACACAATGCCCGCTCTCCCTCCAGGAGACTCTGGTTACCAACATGGCAACGGTGAAATCTGCGTCATGTAGAAGTAAATTTCAAATTCTAATTGTTATGTTGGTGTATGTTAATTCTGTTTACTTGTATATGTATATGTTCTTGTTTGTTCTTGATTATAGTAAGTTATGTTTGTTTCTCCTCATAGTAAGTATTGACTCATGAATGAACTGACTCTTTTTATCTTTCATCGTACTAGAAGTAATGAGTAGTATCTTTCTAAACTATACCTATTATAGTTTATTAGTAGAATTGTGGTATAGCTGAATGTATTGAACTGAAATAAAAGCTTTTATGTCTCATACGTATATACATAATACATAACTAATGATTAAATTACACTCGGACAAACAACAGGATACTCTAAGTCCACAACCAAAGAAGGAACATGAAACAAAGTGTGTTATCAGTCCTAAGTCCTTTAAACTTTACTTATATAACTGTATATGTATTAGACATGGTTTTAACAAATTATAAGTTCAAAGAAAGCTAAAGAAAAGGTTTGTTATTTAAGAACAAGTTTGATAAAGAGTTTAATGTGTAAAAGAGTTTGATAAACATTTTAAAGTAGTTTGTTTGATAAAGCAACTAAAAGTATAGCAAAATCCATTGTTTGATAGTTATTAATCACATGTGATTGATATAATAAATATATTGTTTCAACTTGTATTCCACCCATAAAAGCATTTAAAATCATTTAAAAGGTTGATTAAGGGGTATGAACTCACCTGTAGTGAGTAACTCAAATGAAGGGTTGATATAGGATTGTTGGGTGTTAATTGGAGTCTTGAGCACAAACGAATCATATTTAACATATATGAATACAAATATGAATACATTTAATGCATATAACCATTAATGGTGATAGGTACATGCCTTAGGGACATAAAAACACTTAGAATTAAGTGTTACCAACACATATGGTTGCACATAAGGGATGTATGGCTCTATATTGGAGTGTAAGGCCACAAAACCATGGAGTTTATGTGTGTGCGGCTAGGGTGTGTGTGCGGCCACACACTCACTATGAAGTGTGCCAAAGAGTGTTTCCAAGCCTTAGGAATGTTTTAGGGAAGGTATTTTGACCATTGCCTAGCCGGAGATGGAGTTTGTTGCTATTTTGGACCCTCAAAAGGGTGTGTGCAGCTACACTTGTGTGTGCGGCCCTACACATGGTGTGTGCGGCCGTACACACTTGAAAATCATATGAAATGGCGTTTTTTTCATGCAAAAATCCAAGGGTTCTTAGCTTATATCAAGCTATTGCAAGTGTATACCCGAATTAGAGGCTAATATGCATCAAACAAAGGGGTGTACGGCCACATGAGGGTGTACGGCCATACACTTGTTGATTATCACTACTAGAAAAACAGCCTTTTACGACGCTCATTGCGCGTCGTAAAAGGCTCAGACGACGCACAAATGTGCGTCAAGGAAGGTCCTATCATAAACAGAGACGACACGCTTTTGCGCGTCGTCTATAGACGACGCACAATTACGACGCGTGTTTACAACACGCAATCTGTATCAAGGAAAGCCCTATCATAAAGGAAGACGACACGCATTCGCGTGTTGTAACCTTACGACACGCTTGTGAATGACATCCAATGCGTATCAAGAAAGCCCCTGTCAAGAAAGGCCATGTCATAAATGAAGATGACGCACATTTTTGCGTATCATAATTTTAAATGTTTAAAAAAAATTATTTATAGATTTACTAATTTTCAAATTAAATAATACATTAAAAATCTCATAATACAAAATAAAATACCATAAATAACAAAGATAATTCATTTCACTAATATGTCAAATACAAATAATTATTCCAAAAGTGAGTAAATGTTATAAAAAAAAATGAACTCATTTATATACAATTGTATCATCTAGCTTACTATGTGCCAATAACTCTCTGTGTGTTTACTTTTGCTTGAGTCTCGTTTCCTCCAAAGCTTCTAGCCATGCCAAAATATGATATCTTGAGTCTCGTTTCAAGAACCAAAATCACATTCAATCACCCAATTAAACTCTAGATCTTCTGTTGTTTGAAAGAAATTGGTGTTTGTAATCTATGAACAAAAAATGCAAAGGAATTTAGAGTGTAATTAAAAGCAATGAATTAGTTAATAATACCTTAAGTGCTTTGGCTTTCCTTCCACGATCACGATCAAGCACTAGTAATTTCATGATCTTATATGGATTGGAAATATTACTCATTTGAGACGCCTCTGTAAGTGAGTATGATTGCTAAATAAATTATCTAATAAATGTATCAACAGTTAAATAGTTTGCCAAATTTAAACCATATGAGATACCACTGCTTCCATTCGAATCAAACTGATGTGCATCAATATGTTTAATACTCTACAACAACGCACGTTTTTTTAAATGTTGGAATTTTACCTGGTCACTTTGAAAATTAGAATCAAGTTGCCATCGGTGGTCAAATGTGGATCTCTAAAACACCATAAAACAAGATTAAAAGTCAAAACAAGTAAAACGTAATTAATATGTGTTTGTCAGATTAAAAGTCAGCATGAACGACACATCACCTCCCATCTCATATGATCTCCCCCCATAAATTTTAAAGTTTTTCCTTCTTTTTTTAGTAGCTTTTGAATATTTGTGACCTTCAAACCCTCTAGCCAGATAATATGTGTTTGTTTCTCCTTTGTCCTCTTCAAATGCATTTTCTTGAAATTCAAAGACTTAATGATTACAACTTTAACTAATATATTAACAAGTTTTGAACAATTAATACTAAATCTTATAATACCTTTAACAACATCATAGCTAGATGTATCCACTTCCTCTTGCATGCTCCTTCCAGTTTTCTAAAGGAGATTCGAAACAAATATCATTGAGCAAGAAGACTAAACATAAAATAAGCATAAAAAATAAATAAAAATTATATAATATAAATATATACCTTTGGATTATTGACTACATAACTTGGTACCTCGTCTTGCCAAAACAAGTTTATGTTTTCTGGAAATAGTGAAGCCAAGTAACACAATATCTGAAAATCCCATGAAGAGCAAAGTAATTATCTATTGTTATTAGTAAAAATAAATTACAAAAAAAAAAAAGAACTTATTGTTTAAATTTGAGTAGACATCTCGATTCCAACCAATAAACTGTGAACCATATAATAGACATCAGACAAGAAGTTGAGTTCTAGAGAAGTCTGATGATCTTCTGATCCTTCATTTTCACCATCCACATCAGTAACTTAAATGGTTAATTGTATAACTCAAGGGGTAAAATGGGCAATTTACAAGAAAAAAAAAAGTAAAAAAAAACATTTACAAATGCATGAATATAAATCATGAGTCTTAAATGCCCTCTAATGATGACAAAATAAGTTTTATTGTCTTTAATGCCCTGTAATGGTGACAAAAATATGATGGATTTACCCATGTAGAGAATTCAAAATATTACCTATATTTCCGCTTCTCTAGATATCTTTGCACTGATGTTTTTCTGCTTGCTGAACCTTTTCACCCTTAAACTGCTATCATTCTGAAAGCTGCATACACAAAACTAAACAACAACAAACAAACAAATTACCATTTCTTGTAATTTAGTAAGAAGAAGAAGAAGAAGACACTTACAGAGCTACCAGCAGAGGCTAAGAAATAACAATCAAGATAAGGACATAAAGCAAGAACAATACCACGCATATTTGTTGCATAAGCTAATCTTAAATTCCATGCTTCGGTTTCTTCTAATTTGATTCCATTTCCATCACAACTATTATTATCAATATCATCAGGGCTACTGCAAAGACTACTGCTTGAAAGTTTCTCACCTCCTCTATAGTCACAAAAAGGTGAACTTCTTTTTGAATAAAATGTCATTGATCCACTATGTGAGTTTTGTTTGTGTTCAAGGCACAGGACTATCAATCTGCCTTTTGTACTGTAAACATAAACACAATTCGTGTATGTAAAAGAATAGACTAAATAAAAAAACGGGTCCTTATTATTTCTTATGTTTACCGTGTTTGGTCCAAAACTGAAACCTTGTTCATTTCAGTCCTATTTTATAGATTTTGCCTTATTCTTCATGGAACACTTTCAATAAGGACCAAACTGAGAAAAGTTACAATTTGGGACTACATGCAGTAATAATCAAAAAGCACAGGGACTGTTTTTGTAATTTAGTCGAGAGTAGAGTATATTAACATTTCGGCTTCACTAGTTGGCATTATGGCAGGGCCAGTGGAGAGACTAGTGTCCACCACCAATACATGTTCATTTCCAGCTTTGAACAACTCCATACACTTCCCTGTTTCTCCAGGCTCAAGTTTAAAAGATGTTGAAATCAAACCACTCAACGGGTCCACACAACAAATATCAGATGAACAAGAATCATCACTCAAATCTTTCCTCAAAACCACCAACAATTTGCTTTCAGAATGATATAAAACCTTCCTTGGTGTCCCTCCAAGGTGAAACTTCTACACATTCAGCCTCTTGATATGCACCATTTCCAACTAAAACAAAAAATGTTAAACATAACTATGCGAGGGTAATTTGGTAATTTTGAAAAAGTCTTACCAAATGGAGACTATTGTCTAAAACCAAATGGAGGCTAAAACCAAAAACACGCTTCATGGGCTGCAATAAAAAATGATAATTTAAGAAGAGAAAATAACGTGACAAGATTTATTAATCTATCAGAAAACTCATTTTTAGAAGCTTATATAGTGACTTACAGGTGCTTTTGGAGGCTTCTCTAAATCTGCAATGTTCCCATCCATGTCCACAGAGGTATCCCGTGTATGATGATTTTGCCCTCCATCTTTTCACAAGATATCTTTTGAGGTCTAATTTGGTTCAAGAAACAAGAACATAAATTAGTTTATAAACTGAAAACAGAGAAAGATTTGTGGACTACAAAAGTGTAGAAATATAATACTGAGAGGCACGAACCAGATTGGAGACAAAAGATGAAAACTGATGTGGTGGATGCCATTGAAGTTTCTTGAAGTTTAACCCCTTTGTTGTTCTATTTTGGCCATTAGTAGGATCCTCCTCATATGTTCTTGTTTTTCTGATTTTATTTTATTGAAAATAGTTGCATCACTAGCAACTATAACAATACCAACAAGCTCCCCATCTTCATATAATGGGCTCTTGTTTACTAAAGCCATGAATGTCACACCCGATCTCTTCCTGAAAGGAAATTGACCTGCCCAACTTTGACCAGACCTCACCCTTTCCAAGATCTTCTCTGAAGATGTTTGAAACTCATCATAAATAAGTAAGTTTGTGACTGTTTGCCCAAGCGCCTCATAGTCCTCGTAGCCAAACAGTTTCTAAGCAGAGCGATTCCTGGAACATATGGTGAACTTTCATCGAACACTTGGATGGCATTACTCATCAACACAATTCATACTTCCAATTAGATAAGATAACAAGCTTTCCAGTTTGCATAAACATATAGAAATATAGAATCCATAATCTCATGATCTTTCCCTTAAATTTAATCACTAGATTATATATGTTCAAAGATGGGGAAGTGGGATATATATATATATATATATATATATATATATATATATATATATATATATATATATATATATATATATATATATATATATATATCGCATTATACTATAAATTAAGGAGTGTTTTCTATGATACCAAGTATTTTGTATCGGATTGGAAATGAAATTAGTTTCCTTGTTTATATAACATAGGACTTGTCATATCACTTTTAACTTTTTTCAGTAAAAAAGATCAACCCTTTAGATTTTTTCATAGACTTTCTGGTTTTGCTACTAATTTTAGGCAATACAGATTGTTTCTTTAAGCATATTGTTGATACAGATGGGTACTTTTGGAAGTTCTAGACAAGGTTTCTCAAGGATCAGTTAATTGGAAGCAATCATCAAAACCCCATATTAAGATGCCATTTAGAAAAGTAAAAAAAATGAGAATGTTTCTTGCCTGAATACATCATGGAGGTAAGTTTAATTTGTGTTTTGTGAGTTGTACAGTACAAACCATCAATGCATATTAGTCATAATTTGACGTGAAAAATGAAAATGTTTCTTGCTTGGTAGGTGAATCAGAAGACATGACTGTCTCATTATTGGTTTTTCAGCAAAAATCTGGGAAACATTTTCATGTATTAATAATAGAGAAGAAAAAGATCGAGTAAGCAAGCAACCACTAACCTTTCTTGTAGCCCAAAATTCAGTCTCTTACAACACACCTCCCATCACAAATTGAAAGGAGAGAAAGAGATCGAGTAACCAGGATTTAATGAACATTGAAGGATCTACATTTCTTATTAGAAGTAGCACCAACATGAAGCCCATTCCAGATCGATCCTTGAGATCTTTATTTTGGGCAAGGACATGCTTCTCTATTCTTAACATCTCTTTGGTATTCTGGAACGAAAATCTCAATAAGCTTGCCTTCATCTAGTTCAATAAACCCGCAAGAGATATGAATCGCTTTTGGAATTAGTTTCTGTTTATAAGAGGAGTATGAGAGAAGGAAGACAATATGGAAATTGATGCGGTGTGTTTTGGGGAAAAGGTTGTTAGGCATCAGAAATCTGGAAGAGAACAAAAGATAAGGGTAAAACTATATTTAGGGTTTTTTCGATTTGGGGTGTGAAGAACGCCTGAGCCATCACCACCAAAAAACCCTAGCACGTACTAAGTTGATAGAAAAATGATAAAATCTGATTATGGATTTTAGAAGAAAATAAAAAACCTCTTGCTACCTACTAAGAAGGAAGACGCGCGTTAGGGTTCTTTGTCTGTGTGTTGTTTTGATTTATCAATGGGAAATAAGAAACAAACAAGAATCAAGCTTTGCGATAACTCATGGAATTCACAGAGCTTCATTAAGCCAAACCATGGAAAAGAGAAAAGTTGAAACGAAGGAAGATGAGACAAGGTAGGGTTTTCTAATTTTTGGGGATTTCATTTCCCGCTTAGCTATTAAAGGTTGGTAAAGGCACGTTTCATTAAAATTTATAAAGCGACATCCTTAGACGACACGCATTTTATTATAGGTGCCCTCCGTGTTTTTCTTTTTGGACACTTAATTAAGGGCTCGCAATAATGCGTGACCTAAATCCTTAAATTTTTTGAAGAGATGACACTTTTTTAACGTCACATGGTTTTGTGTAACATAAATCAACGAGTATTGTGGTTTGCGCATCATAAAAGGCTGTTTTTCTAGTAGTGTATCATGATTTTGGACGAATTTTAAAGTCATAACTAGTAAGTATCAAGCATGGGGAGGAGTACTTACGATATAGAAGCCTTTGGGGGTGTTCTAGGGTCCAAAACTTAGAAGATTTGTTTGGTGTTCTTGATGTTCTTGAAGAACACTTGAAGATCTAAACAAAATGAGTACATTCTTGGATGAAATGATAGATTTTTACCAGGTTGTGTAATGAAGCATCAAATAGGAGGAAGAAATACTTAGAATTTGAATATTTAGAAGTGTAACATGGTTGATACTTGAGAGAAAACAAGTTCTTGGCTAGGGGAAGTGAAAAGGGTTGAATAGAAGCTAAGTCCCCCATTTATAGATCAGAGTGTACGGCCAGAAGGGGGGGGGGTGTATGACCGTACACTCCTCATGATGGAGTGTATGGCCATTTTGTGAATTATTTGAACTTTTAGGACCCTTTTCCACACACTAACTTGAAGATACTAGGCTTAGAACGCTCTATTAGACTTTAAACAATGCTAGAAGATTGCCAAAATAAGTCCTAAGTTGATTGTTTTGAATAATTGCACAAGGTAGAAATTTCGTGTAGTCAAAACTCTTGAGGAAAGTACGGATAGATGTGGAAGGTAGTATGGTCCCGTACTATTGAAAGTAGAGGATTCGTACTCGATTCAAGAGGGGTCGAGATAAAACCAGGGAACTTATAGAGTGTGTGTGATCCCTCAGCAGTTATGTGTATTTTGACGATTATTATGGCATGTTTTCAGTATGGCGTCATTGCAAGATGGACCAGTGGGTGGGTCAGGTGTCAGAGAGGGATCAAGCTCGGTTCAGGGACCGAGAAGCTCGAGGAGCGGATAAGGGAGTTTGTATCAGTAGAGGTTACGCGCAGTATTTTAGACCAGACTCCTGTGATCTTTGGCGCGGTCAAGGAGGGCATCCTGGAGATTTTGGATGAGAAGCTTGGAGCCTTCCGCACAGAGATGATGACTTTGTTGGGAGCACGTAATTGACATTCCGGGAGTTCAAAGCTTGTGGAGCTCCAGACTATCATGGGGCTAAGGACCCCATTGCTAGTGGCAGATGTTTGGCTGATGTCGCAATGCCTTTTGTTTTAGCCAGTGTCCCGAGGGGGACAAGGTTCGACTCGCCTCCTGTCTTCTGAAGGACAAAGCACGAGATTGGTGGAAGGAGGTTGGTCATGCTATCGGGGATGATTCCGTGTTGGACGCGATGACATGGAGTGACTTCTCGGCCAGGTTCAAGGTCGAGTTCGCACCGATGATTGTGGTGCAGCAGTTAGCCCGAGAGTTTCAGGATCTGAGACAGACTACAGAGACATTGGCGAAGATCACTGCCAAGTTCAAGGAGAGATCCCTTCTGGTTCCATATTATGTGGCAGACGAGGATATGAAGAAGGCTTGGTACCACGAGATGTTAAGAGTTGACATCAGGGAGTTTGTGAGCAGTTCCAATTGCAAGATGCTGGAGGACATGATTGCTCGGGTCAGGGAGAGAGAGATTGATCTGGATCAGATCAGGAAGAGGAAGTCGGATGAGATTCAGGTAGCCACAGGTTCGGGAAAAAGGCCCACGGGGTCAGATTCGAGATCGAGGGATTATCAGAGCCACAGACGGTGCGAAAAGTGTGGCAGGACGCACGAGGGTGCGTGTAGGAGTGGCAGTGGTGGTGATTCTACCTGCATCAAGTGCGGCCAGACTCATCTCAGCAGAGATTATACTCCTACCACCCCCCAGGGATTGGACCTGATATGTTTCCATTATAGTCAGAGGGGCCACAAGAAGGCCCGCTGTCCGAGTTTGCATTCAGCAGGACAGGTGGTAACACCTACCCCTGCAACCTTGAGAATCACCAACGACCATTAGGGCCAGACAGAGGCGCCTGCAGTGAGGAGGAGGGTGTATCAATTGGATTCAGATGAGGTGTGAGTAGCCCGAAGCATCAGGTAGATGTCTTCTTTCATTTTTCCCTATCAGCTTATCATACGATCTTATTATTATGGTGCTACATCGGTATTGGTAATGATATTTCAGAATTTTGTGGCATGCTTGT